ATACGAGATTATGGTACTTGAAGTTGATGACGAAAGTTCGATATACGCTAGCAAACACAGGTGTCACAGTCAGGTGATCAGACGTACAAACCTGTGTGAAGGCCGCAGCGACCAAGCATAACTACAACCCACGGACGGGCGTGTGCTGGGTTGGGCGTGTGAGCAGGCAAGACAGCAGACAAATGAATGAACGAACGATGAGCGAAACACAGACAGACTATCGTTGTTTCCCGCCCCCGGGCAATGGTCGATATGAGCGAGATCCGGATTGGTTCGATGGATGTGGAGCTAAAAAGAGAAACTCAAGGACGTGGGGCGCAGTGGGTAAAATAAGAAAGACAGGTAAACGTGTATTGACTGTTGGGAGGGTGGAATCGCGGTGATGGTGAAGTGCGGATCCATTCATACATGGATGGAAGTCTGCGTGTGCGTGTATGCATGAGTACAAGCCGCGGAGACCAAAAGACGGGGGTGAGGATGACCAACAGAATGAGGGAACTGATGGCCTCACCTCGTCAATGCACGTGTCCATAAATGAACGTAAGAGCACGCAATCTATCGGGCATTTCGGCTGTTTTTAGCACGAGCACCTCACTACTTGGGCTGGCAAAGATTAAAGATAAAAACCGAGCTAGGCCTGACAAAAGGAACAGAACGGAAACAGTACGATTTGATTATGGAGAAAGCTCGATACCTAATAATCCCACTTTGTGGTTCAAGGTGATCGCATTGTCGTAGGAAACGGAAAAAAATCTGTGCGAGAGATTAAAGATAACAGTCGACAGATCAAGTGCGACGCTCAGTCTCGCTGTTCTGTGCACGGAAAGTGAGCATTTTTTGACTGTGCTCAAGGAAAATACCCTCAAAGGACTATAGGAAGGTGGTGCTGTTCAGATGGGCCTCACTATGTACTCTCCAAGAATGAATTCAAATTTCGCTTCAAAGTTTGGCACCAATTTTTGTTCAGTGTGATGACAGCGCAAATTAAAATAACCCGGTAAATCTGATTCACCAATGGGAACAGCTGGAGAAATGTGTGGTGTTTTGGAACAGCTGGAACAAATGGATCATGAAGGTTAGAGCTGAAATGAGAAAATCAATAATCGGAATAAAAGAAGGAAATAGACGAAAAAAACGCGGTTAGATACAATGGAACTATTGACTGACCTAACTTGTATTGGCTCAGATTGGCAACCAGCAGGACAGACAAATATAGGTATATCTTGTGCTTCGCGTTCAACTTGAACCATTAAATCAACATCGGAATGCGTGATCATCGGCTCAGGAACAGGTAATTGTGGCTCCAACGGCTGTGACAACAATTGCGATGGTTGGGGAGGTTTCGCTCGGGCCAGGGCACTCAGTGACAATGGCACTTTCGGTCGCCAGGCCGATAGTTCAACGATCAACAAATGAGGTGACGAAAGACTTAATTCGCCGGGAATAATACGTATCTGTAGATTGATGTAAGTGCCAGGCTCGTGCAGTTGTATCCGACGAAATAATAAATCCCGGTCAAGTTTATTTGGTAGCAGTCCGACTGAGGCGTATCCGTTGTGAAGCTGAAATGCACCGAGGCTCAGTAATGCTGCCTAGAACAAATGAACCGGGAGATTTCCACTGATAAGCGCAGCAATAACAAACACCTACTTTCATTAATTGAACGCATAATCAATTTTTACGGAGTCGGAGACAGCCCATCAGAGGAATATCATAAAAATGATAAGTTAAACAATGGTGGTGATAATGGGATTCAAAAAGACGACTCTCGGGACGGTATGATGATGACTTGATCAACACCGACTAATGAATAACCAGAAGAGGACAGGGAAGTTCACAGAATATCCGTTTAGTGCGAACTGCGGGCGGTGATTAAAGAGCACGTAAATTACACATTTCTTGTGATATTTAGTTCCTTTTCGAAGAAAAAAGGAAGCACTATGATCATCAAATGTAACTGAAGTGGGAACTCAAGAACGCCGAGAGGGACTGAAGTAGAATGTTCGACCTTAATTTTTGTAGCCTGTTTGTTGACTACTGATTGACCGAATATCATACAATTCGCATATAACCACTACATTCATTATTTGTGATCCACCTGGTACGACCTTGATCTGATCCAACGGGACAGGCTAGTGCAATTCAATTCACTTAAATGTAGTAGATTTTCCAAACTAGAGAAACGGAAGTGAAACAAGTTTAGTCCGCAATACAGAAATTGAAAAAGGAGAATCTATAGTATTGCCTTATACATTGGACATTCGGTTTAACGATGACAGTTCATGTTTTCATTTGTGGCAATCAAATCACAAACACCCACCCAACACTAACTGGCAATGGTGAAAACGCAACCAGTTTATCTATTCACTCTCTGACTAACACATATAATCGAGCGCGTGCGTGCGTTTCTGTGTGTACAGTGTGGGCGGCAAAAAATAAAACAGAAAAAGACATTCGAACATATTGATAGATCAGGTACAGTTTGGATGAACTCATAACTCAGCTAG